TAAACTACATTTAATAGAAAGAGTGCTGCCTGCTTTGTGCCATCAAATCAGTTCTGACACAACATGGCCTAGCAGATAGCGCAGACCTGCCCTCACGGGGTTTCCACGGCTGCCGTCGCCATGGGAGCAGGTGACCAGGTGTTTCTCTGTACAGTCGTTGGGTACCGCCAGAACCCAATAGAATACCGCCTCTGACCCACTGTTTGGTAAACATGCTCCTGTTGTACTTCTGGTTACCATTAATATATTGATTCTTAAAGAAGATAGATGTTCTTCTCAGGAAAATGTACAAACAAAAGATTGTAAGTAGTGGCCCTTACTCGCAAAAAGAATCCCAGATCCCACTGTAAGTCTTACTCCTTTGTCCTCCCACTTCCATTATCTACCTTTGAGATCTGCATTCACAAATCCAGTAGGAGCAGTGTAGCCATGGGATTTATCTGAAATTATACACACACACACACACACACACACACACACACAATGTGCAATCATCCAACTGGGGATTCTTGAAGTGCATCAGTATTCAAATGAATTCGCATACCAAAGAATAGCTTTTATTCTTTGGTTGGGTGGTTGGTGTGGAGTTTGGGTGGGCTTAATAAAGCCCAGAAGTCGTAGTATTCTCTGCCTGTTCATTATGGACCCAAATCTATCACCAGAGTGTTTGTCAGAGACAAGCACACACAGCCATGTGAGAGACCTGTATTTGGACTGCTCCACCACCTGCACAGCTGCCAAGGGCTGCCACATGCCGAGGGCCTGGAGCCTGAATGTTGTGGTTTTCTCTGTCACTGCTCCATTCGATGACCTTTACTTTTGTGCAAAAGCAAATAGCAAACCCTCGGCATTTTCACCTGAGAATTTGGAAGCGCTTTCATTCCTCAAAACCGCTCCGGGATCTTCTGGGAGAGCCCCTTACACTGACTCCTTTAAAAAAATGAAAACCATTCTCTTTGCTGAGAGGGAGGAAAGGCTTATTAAAAGTTGTTATCGGAGTTGTCATGGAACCGCCACGAGTGGTGGTCGTAATGAGGAGCACGGGAAGCCACACTGAGATGGTGACATGCTTAATAAATGTTAAATAATAATGATGATGTCATGAGACTTTCATTTCCAAACTGTCTTAATTTCATTCTCAGTTTGAGATTGCAGATTACAGTGGTTAATTATAGAAATTGGCCCAGAGTGAAACCTTAAATCAGATTTCCATTAAATTGCACGGCTGCTTGCAAATGACTTCATAGTGGGAGAGAATGGCACACTTTCAGGTGGAATGGGGTCTTCCTGCCAGCCCAGTGATTTCCTGTCAGTGCTCTTTGCTACCCCAACTCCGCTGGGTCCCCAAGCTTAGCTGCCCACGTGCTGGTCTCCTGTTAGAAACCCTGCCTGCCTATTGTTGGCGCTCTACCGTGCTCTTTTCCTCTGCTCTCTCTTACTTGCCCTTTCACATTCTCTCTCTCACGCTTCCCCTCCTATCTGTCTGTCTCTCCCCCACCCCACACACATATGCATGCACACATTCTCTTATCCTCTCTCATGCACTCTCTTTTTAAACATTTTTTGGTTACGAATAAGGTGAAGGTGTACAGAGCAGATTGTGGTTTTACAGTCAGCGATTCGTACATCCTGTCTTTCACCTCATCCATCGCAAGCCCTCAGTGTACCACTACTTCTAGCCTGTACTTCCCGTTTCCGCTCCTCCTTCTTGCCTGGCCCTCTCTACTTTGTCTTTGGGTAAATGTGATTTGGTCCTAAATGGATGATTCTTCTAACGCGGGGTGAATTCAGACCTGGAGGGTGGATTCTTTGTCTTGCTGCCCCCTCATATCACTTGCCTTCTACCCGTGCCACCTCCAGGATGGGTAGGGGAGACAGGGGATGGACAGCTTTCTAGACTTGGTGCTGCAAACAGCTCTGGAAAAGGAAGGAATAAACCAGAGAGCAAACTTTTCATCCTGGTCTGTGGCACCTGCCTCTCTAGCATCTTCTCTCTGTTTGCTATTTCATTCAACCCTTAGTATCTGAGTGAACTTACTTGGTTACCCTCTGCTTTTATCTTGACGGCTCCCCTATCCCCAACATCTCCTTGCTTCCTTCTCTTTGTTGTAGCATCTCTTCTAAAAGCCTCTTTGTCCTCAGCAATCTGCGTCAATGCCCCTGCCCTGGGCACTATGAAGCACCTATACTAGTATTACAATTGCCTCTTTACTGGTGTGAGTTTCAAAGTAGTCTGAATTTCTTGATGACAGTGATTATATCTTATTCATCTCTGAATCTCAACCTTTGAGCTCTGTGTCGTACACAGAAGCTGGTCGTTAATTGACTATTTGAATGAATTTAATTTATTCCATTTTAAAGCCATTATTTAGTCAATCATTTATCCATGCCATGGACTGTGCTGGCTGCTGATTCTAAGAATATGAAGAAAAGGTGCATAGTCTTTATTACAGAGGCACACAAATGTCACAAATACAAAGGGGTGGAGGGTTCAAGGGGAGGATGAGGACAGGTGAGAGAACAAATCTCCTTGGAGAACAAATACAGTCCATCTCTCATTTACCCTAACAAAGCCAGCTACGCCTTCACTGTTAGGAAAGAGGGCTTTTCTGAGGTTCAGAACCATTTGATGTGACTGGCTTACTTACATAAAGGTTGTTGCACAAAGAGTCTTTTAGATGCCAGACTTATGTTAAACACAAATAGTATGAGAATCTCACGGGACCTGATGACAATGGGAAGAATACCACTCTCACAGCTCCTATTCGACCCTTCCTCCAGCACCTGCACACCTGGAGAAGAGCCGAATTCCACGGTCACAGTCATTTTACTTCTTGCTGGTTGAGATGAGTGGCATACTTAGCCATGTGGGATAGAACTGTTCTACACAAAGCTAGTGACTCATCCTAGCTTCATGAGACAGGAACGCTTCACTGAGAAGGGGAGGTCGCAACTCATTCTGCCGGACCCCACCCCACCCACCAGCCCCTCTCCCCACAGCTCAGGTTATGGCCCGGGCAAAGGTGGACAGGGGCCATGTGCACGTCACCGCAAAGCGTAGTCTTTTTTATAGAACCCTCAGCGAACTTCAGCAGTTCTTGAGTTTTTATCTTAAGCCCTGTGGAGTCGTCGTTGTGGAGTGTTTGGGGTTTGGTTTGGTTTTGTCCCTTTTCGTTCTTCTGGCAAGTTTCTCTCCACCCACAGTTCTTTGGAAACGACCGCTGTATCAAGTTCAGTGTTCGCGGCATTTAACAGCTGTCATTAGAGAGCAAGCTTCTGCTTACCAGTGGCCCTACTGCGAATGGTAATATGAGGTTTCTTTTGGGGGAGTAGCCCCAGTCTCTTAATTGGTTTGAAAATTATTGCTCATTTGTTTCATTCTTAAGACATTGCCAGTTTGTTGAACTTTTATAAGTTTGTCTTCTCATTGTGTTTGAATTCTGTATAGCTATAATGTATTCAAAGAGGTTTCTTCTTTGCCTCTAGTAACCTGCTCACCTCACGCCATTACTTGTTGAATAAATGCACGTGTAAATAGTCATTATGCATTTCTTTAGTCATTGTACTTAGCATTTCCCATATATTATTTCATGTAAGTCTTTGAAGAACCGTGTGGACTAGGTACTAATAACAATCCCATGTATAGATAAGGAGACCTTGTTGAACACAGGTTATGTAAGATGGCCAGGATCCGAAGTGTAGCAACTGGTGTGAATCAGTCAATCAGGAATGGATTTTGAGGCTCACCTCTGTTATATTTTAGCCTGGTGACCTTAGGACTTGTCATGTGAATTCTCTGAGTAGCTTCCTCACCTACAGAAGGCAAAGCAATATTATAGGAACTAAACAGCATTCTGGAAGAAATCAAAATAAAAAATCCTTCAGTTTTTTATTTTGTCCAAGTAATGCCCCTTTCTACGCAGTTAAGTGCCGTACAAATGGAAGGTAGTCTTTCCTCATATGTTTTGTGTAGTTAATTTGGCACATCGACATAACGGGATTTTAAAATAGCAGGCTACATATACATATATGCTTTGCAATTACTGTGGCATTATTCAATTGTGACTCCACTGTTGGAATTTTGATGCCTTTTGCTTGATGACTAGCCATTTTCTGTGGGTGTTCTCAATTAATCCGGGTAATGAATTCTCTTCATTACCTCATTCTTCTTGTTAATTATACAAGATTTTCTTAGACCGATTTATCAGGTCACGGCCAGTATGATTCCCGCGTGCCCCCCCTACACACACACACACACACACACCTGTGAATATGGAATCAGTGCAAACGGGGTAACATGATGGACTTGAATTTACATTTCTGAAAATCCCAGTCAGAGGCCGGACTTGTCTCACACCCTTACTGGTTATATCACGTTGCATCTTTCTATTGTGTGTGTGCTTGTTAAAAATGTAATTAAAGAATGGTTGTTAGCTAAGATAATGAAACTCTCTCCAATTTTTGAGAAGCTACCTCTGGCATATCAAAGAGGTATTAAGAATAAATGGGAAAGTTTGAATCTTTGTTCCTCTCAGTGTGACACAACAAGTAATAAGTTCCTCATTTTGGAATACTGTGTGAGACCATGACAATTGAGATTTTAAGTGTAAGCCATAGGGAGAAAATGCCTAAATGCATGGCATTTTAAACGACACTGCTCCGAGGAAGAATAAGCTCTAGACAATTATCTAGAAGATCCAGAACATGACATATGACAAACAAACAAGTGAGTGGTGACTGAACGCATTTTGAGTCCAGAGAACTTAGTGATGAGATGATATGGGTTAATGTGACCATGGTCTATATTGATTGTTATTAATTTAATTTTAAATATTTATTTGTTAACATTTCTGTCGCTTTCATTTTATGTTTTATATTCTGTTAAAAGAAAAACAAAACTCTACCAAAGGAGTCCGTTTTTAACTGTTGCCATTATTTTGGCGTTATTTTTCAGCACGTCAACTATCAACATTTTAGTCAGCATCTTGTTTTTTCTCTAGGTGGAAGCCATCCTTGTCAATATTTTCGGCGGAATTGTAAATTGTGCCATTATTGCCAATGGCATCATCAGAGCCTGCCGGGAACTGGAACTCAAGGTGCCCCTGGTCGTCCGACTTGAAGGTAAGTTATGAGAGACTGACACTATGCCAGCACCCTTTCTCCTAGGTCAGGTGTCCGGAGTGTCCTGATTCACCTGCCCTCCCAGGTGACACAGCAAACTCCGCATGCCCGAGGATGAACCCCAGTGTAGGGCAGCACATGAGTACTTCTCAGGACCTCTAACAGGTGCGCACCGCCGAGGGCAACTCTCCAATGTAGCGTGTTTGATGGTTTCCAGAGCCTTCAAACTAACGGGTCCTGACTGGTGCCGAGTTGGTGCCTGACTGCTAACCTAAGTACCTCTGCGGGAAAGGGCTGGCAATCGCTCTCTGTTCAGATGACAGCCTACAAAACCGTACGAAGCAGTCTAGTAGCCATGGCATCTAACTACGGCAGGAATTGTTTCACAAGATTAATGCCCTATGAAAAACACTCTGAGAAATAAGATTCTTAAAATGTGTTGCCTTTGGGACCCCTTTACGTGTTAAAATCAAGGCCCTGAAGCAGTTTTTGTTCATTTTACTTCTGTCGATGTTTTTAATTAATTAACTGCATTGATACATTAATTTAGCAATAGCCATGTATATTTGGAAATGTGAAGCTGTTTAATCATTAATTCATTTTGAAAAATAATAAAAGTATTGCAAGTTAACATAAAATCCTTTTTTTGATTGCACAACTCTTTTTGATGTATTTAAACCGTTGAATTGGGGGGTATGTGAATCAGCTGTCAATAAAACTTTTAAAAATAACTTTTTCATGAAAATAACTGTATCTCAGTAGTCACAGTAGCAGCAGACTTTTACACTTTTGAAAAGTGTTTTGGTATCTGCCTTTATTTACTCTGGCACTGGGCCTCTAACAACAAGGGGGCTTATCTGAAGTATATGCGAAGGAAATCTTGTCTTATAGACATATGCTTGGAAAAGGTTTAACAACCTTTTAAAGTAAATGCTTATGTTCTTCTTTGGTGCGAAACTCAAAGTCTGTAAGAAGGGATTTCTAAATGATTCTTTTAAATCTGGAATCTGAAGCTATCTCATTGAAAATCCATGGGTGTATCCTGCACAGTAAACGAATCTCTTAGCAATGCATGGTTTATAACATCGTAAGTTGATCATTTGGAAAAGACTGAGCTATGTAGCTATTCGAAAGGCTGACACATTTCAACACATGGTTTGCTATTATGACACCCCCCCCCAATCTCAGCTGCGGAGCCTTTAGGGATTGGAAACTTGTCAGTTCCACGGCAGTGGATGCACGTTTTTCAAAAATCCTAATTTTTACTCAAAATGGCAAATTGTGTTACCAGCCACAAAAACTGTCAGTTGTTTCTTTTAAAATAACAGACTCTTTTCACTCATTTTCAAGAAAATTTCTGCCAAATAACGCAGATAGCAGCGTCTATCACTCCTTCAAGGAGAAGTGGCGTGCTATGTAAGAGCTCGGTAGTACCAGCCACGACTCACAGTCGCACATCTGCAACCAGCGTAGCTCACTTGGTAGCAGCAGCGCTCTGTAAACGTGCCTGACTGGGGGTTCCCGTTGGGTTCCAGAGCATTCGGAAACAGACAGACCTGTATTGAGGGTTGAGAATAATTGTTAGTTTTGTCCATTACATTCTGATTTGGAATTGGCAGTTTACTTTTCAAATGTGGAAGACCGATCCAAAATGCCTCCCCACGTCAATAAACTAAGATTCTGGTCATCAGGCAGACACCCTTGAGCCACAGGGTCTAGTGGGTAGGCATGACGAGACTGTGGTTGCTGGGAGTCCCTCCAGACTTGCTCCCCAGGAAAAAGGTCTGGGGGTCCGTCGGAGGCAGTTCCCCGACAGTTGCTGCCTATTTGCTGTGTTACTGGCTTCTTTGTTTGTGACTCCTTCCTCTCTTTCTCTTACATTCTGCTACTCTCCTTTCTCACTCTCTCTCCCCAAGACACTCTGGCTGATATACTTGGGTCTTCACAGTATGAACCAGAGAGAAATAATGATCCCAAGAAAAAGCACTGAAAATAACGGAAGCTCTAATTGGCAAAATGTAATATGGACATTAAAACACATCAATGAGTTAAATCTTCCTTAAAACATAAATAGAACATAATTGATCTCCATAAAAATAATTTCAATAAATGGGAAACAATTGGAAAGGGGAAAAAATCAAAGCTACATTAAAAAGAAAATTGGTCCAGGGGTTCATGGCTCATAAGGGTTGGTGAAATTCTTTTTAAAATGTTAGTGTCAGATTTTTCGCAGGATCAAAGTGACCAATGATCTTTTGATTAAAAAGTTAGCCTTCTTTCATGTTCTTAAAGAATAATTATTTAGAAGTTTCTATAAACAAACCAAACTCTTCATATTCTTAAAAAGGAGCTAACACACTTTTCTTTCTACCCAAAATATTAAAAGGAGTTCTTTTCTTTCACAATATGCTTATTATTCCAGAAATGTAAAATTATATCTATAATACCTTAATTATATATGTGCCGAAAAATATGCACACTACTGTCCCTTAAATAATCTTTAAGGCTGCATCAAAGGTCTTTCTAAACTGCTGCAAAGAAGCTTGGAAATTTCTAAACTTTGTTAGAAAAATAAATATGTATCTCTTAAGTTATTGAATTTGCGATACAGATATTTATATATATTGAAGACCTTATAATATTTTCAGTGTCACAAACCATGAGAGATTGAATATGATGACTCAAAATGAACTTAAAGAGGATGCTGTCCCCCAAATTTATATAGGCTAAAAATATCTATGGTGACCTTCTTTGTCACTGTAAGAACCCCTATCCCATAATAAGTTCCTGGAACATTTATCAAGAGAATAAAAGGTGAATTCTGGATTGAGTTCTTTTCTTCCTCCGTGGGACTTGACGTCTTGTGCTGTAAACACCCTTAGATGTTAGAGTCTCTCATACCCAACACTAGTGCCAAAGATGCCTAGTGATTTCTGGGAATCCATCAATCCCGCACCAAGATAAGACTGCGAAGACTTATCCCAAAATTCTGTAGTTTCTGCGTAGTAAGCAAGGAAAGATGGGGAATTCTGCTATAACTATACTCTTGGCACCGATCAAAGCATAAAAATTTGGGAGAAATACTAATCATAAATCTCCATTGCTCTTTTTCTTGTGGGCACCTTTAAAGTACTATTGTTGGTTTTACTTATAGCAACTCCATGTGATTTGGGATAACGGCCTCCAAGGGTGTGTTAGGCTGAGTTGCTTAGAGTAGCAGAACCAGTGACAGTCATAGATGTATACGAAAAAGTTTTGTATCAAGAAGTTATCGCAGCCCAATGGAGGTCCCTGGGCCTGATGCCAGCCAGAGCCCTCTTCAGATGCACATCGTTGACGCCCACTGGGGCAGAGTAGGAAGCCAGGTACAGGAAGGTCAAAGGCCAGTGGTGGAGAGTCACATGGATTTGAAGCCAGTGGAAATGTAGCAGGGCACCAACAGCTGTCGAGGTAGGGCAGCCCACGCGGGGCTGCCCCTGGAGGCAGACACGGAGTCCTAGCACATAGGAAGGTGAAGGAACAGAGAGAGGAAGAAGTTCGCACTGTCTCTCGTCGAAAAGGCCACACTCCCAAGGAGGCGTCATCGGGCTGTGACCTGATCAAAGGGTTGGACTCCTCCTGACACATGCAAGTGGATATGCAACCCCCCACAGAGCGTTTCTTATGCGGGTTTCCTCACTCTTTTTTTTTTTTAACATAAATCCTTTTATTGGGGACTCTTACAGGTCTTATAACAATCCATACATCAATTGTATCAAACACATTTGTACATATGTTACCATCATCATTTGCAAACCATTTTCTTTCTACTTGAGCCCTGGGTGTTAGCTCCTCTTTTTTCCCTCCCAACCTCATGAACCCTCAATAAATTATCAATTTCTATTTTCATATCTTACACCATTTTCTGTCTCCCTTCACTCACATTTCTGTTGTCCATCCCCCTGGGTGGAAGGTGGTTGTACATCGATCAGTGCGCTTGGTTACCCTTAATCCCCACCCCACCCCACCCCCACCTTCCTGCTACCCTCATGGTATCGCTGCTCCCGTTACAATTCCTGAGGGTTTATCTGTCCCGGCTTTGGAGTGTGGAGAGCTCTTATCTGTACAGTGTACATGCTCTGGTCTAGCCAGATTTGTAAGATAGAAATGGAGTCATGATATTGAAGGGGGTGGGGGGAGAAGTATTAAAGAACTAGAGGAATGTGTGTGTTTTGTCAGTGCTATACTGCACTCTGGCTGGCTTTTCCCTTCCTGTGAGGGGATGTCCAGTTGTCTACAGATGGGCTTTGGGTCTGCACACCATCCCCCTTGTTCACATTGATATGATTGCTTGTTTTGGGGTCTTCTGATACCTGATTCTGTTGACACCTTGTGATCACACTGACCAGTGTGCTTCTTCCATGTGGACTTTGTTGCTTCCTTGCTTAATAGCCACTTGTTTAACTTCAAGCCTTCAAGACCCCCACATGCTATATCTTGTAAGAGCCAGGCACCATCAGCTTTCTTCACCACACTTGCTTATGCGCCCATTTTGTCTTCAGCGATCCTGTCAGGAAGGATGCTTTCATCTTTAGTGAAGCAGATTAACACATTGTTCCTATGCAGCCACTGGGTAGATTCTTCTTCTTCCATAAATCTATCCTTATTTAGTTATATTTTAATTAACCTGAATAACTCTTCTTTGTTTCTGATGACAGAGAAAAATAAGTGCCAAGAGGCAGAGATGTTTTGGACAATCCCAAGTTAAAGTTTCCATCTGACCTGACTTAACAGTATGCGCTCTGATTTAGCCTATCTTTACTTAAATTGACCTTTGTATTGATATGAATTAGTCATAATCCCAGACAATACATCATTATTTAGCCAAAGAAACTGTGGTGACAGACTGGTATTAATTTATTAGGGCTGATATAATAAAAATATCTACAAATTACATGGCTTGAAATGGCCAACATATGTTCTCACATTTGTGGAGGCCAGAAGTGTGAAAACAAGATGTT